TATATTGGCAAGTGCGTAGGCTTCTGCATTCCATGACCGACAAGCTACTGAATGCCACTATAAAAACGTATGTATCTTCACTTGAGCTTTATATATGTCTATGTTAAAGTATTTAAAATGAAGCTTATATTTCTATCTTTCTTGAGACATATAAAACATATGTGTTTATTAATGAATTTACGTGAAATAAGCATTGTTCTGAGAGAGAGTTGCTCTGTCGATCAGTCTGTGCGGGGTCGGAGCTCGGCGATTATTAAAACACATGTATCTTCATTAGAACTTTATATATATCTATGGTAAAGTATTTAAAATGAAGCTTATATTTCTATCTTTCTCAACACATATAAAAACATTTGCGTTTATTAACGAATTTACGTGAAATAAGCATTGTTCTGAGAGAGAATTACTCCGTTGCTCGATCTGTGCGGGATCGGAGCTCGCCGATTAGAAAAATACACGTATCTTCGCTTTAAATACAAATATGCCCATGGTAAGGCATTTAAAATGAAGATTATGTTTCTATCTTTCTTGAGACGTATAAAAATCTTACGTTTATTAACGATTCTGCGTGAAATAAGCATTGTTCTGAGATGAATATTGCGGATTTCCGGCTCTACGACCGATGAAAAATGCAACTTTTATACAACTACAAATATCTTTAGTTTTACTTTAAATTTTGTCCTGAAAGAGTTTTCATATATAGATCCAGTTTCTGCCGTTCTTCTGACATAAAAAGACCTTTGGTTTAATAAGTTATTAAGATGTTTTCAACAATATTACTAGGGCGTTCACCGATTCTAACATGGGCGACCCTTTTGGAAACGCAACACATGGGTTGACCTGATTGATATATGGGTCAGATTCCATTAAGGTTCGGAACATCTGCATGGAATCACTTTTGGGGTCTTTGTTTGGAGGACTGGTTGGGTGAGCCAGCTCATGCACCAACCCGTCCTCACATACAAAGATCTAAGCTCGTTTATCCAGCCGCCAAACCAGCCCTCCTCCAAACAAAGACCCAAAAGTGATTCCATGCATCTGCCAAACCCCCTGTTTATGAATGAAAATCGGTTTACACACGACTCAACTGATTTTGTTCCAACACTTCCGAAACAAGTGCTTCACTGACTAATTTTGTTCGAACCACAATGCTATAAACAGCCCGCTATAAATACCTCTCCTGCTTTCGGGTGCTCATAAACAGTTTCTGTTCCTCATGTCTCGATCTTGGCCTGCTTTGACCGCAGCAGTTCATGGCCTCCATAGCCGCATGGCTTGTTAGGCTTTCCCGGGGATAGGGAGCTTCGCCTGTGCGGTCAGAATAGGTCTTGGGTGGAGTTTTTCACTCTTGGGGCTTGGCCCTTCTTCCTCCTCATCGGGGTTTTTTTTTTTTGAGATATATACAAGAGTTGTTACATTCTTGTACAGCCACTAGTACGCGTAGCGTTTCGGGCAAGTCCTTAATCCTATGGTCCCTGGAATACCATCCCCTGCCGCGAAGAATCGTTTTTTCATCCAAGTACACATTTTACTGTTGCGTTAAACAGAGGCTACAGTTAAGGAATTGCGCCCAGTAAATCCTCCCCGGCCAGGATACGAACCCATGACATAGCGCTCGCGGAACGCCAGGCAAGTGTCTTTACCACTACACCACGGAGACTGTAAAACGCTGCACATTATGCTCATGTCCCTCTCAATCTCCTTTTATTAGCTTGCTCAGTAATTTGGTCTAGGTGGGCAGAAAGCAGTAACTTGTCAGACTGTTGGCATTTGATAAAGTTTGATAAAGTTGAGAAATTTGTAGTGTAGAGTACTAATTTCGTTGTCGCCCTCTATCGAGGTGTGGTAGCCTGGTCCTTCCTTTTTTTTTTCCCCAGTCCGTCAGTGGGTCAATCCGTAAGTAAACGAGTTGGTTTAGGCGTGATAAGCAGGAATGAGATAGAGAACGAACGAGTATAGCAGTCTGATTTGAGTCTTCTTTCTGAAGGCTTTATTCCTGGATGTTTTTTCTCACTCGTTGGGGACCATTGGCACTTTTTGACCTTCCTAATTTTCCGGAGGATTTCCCTGGGTTTCTGGTACCTTTTTTACCTCTTCCCCTTTCTCTTTGCCTTCAGGGGTACTCTCGGCTCCATATGGGCTTTGCTCATTGGTTGGTCTCAGTGTGGGTGTACCATTTCCTTTGGAGGGGTCTTGGTTCTGTTCAGTCCCCCTGTGAGGTTTTGGCAGCCCTATGAGGCATTCCATCCTTTTCCAAGTTTGTGCACCTTCTTCACCAACCTATGGTTGACTGTTTTTGCCTGTGGAGTGGGCTATGGGGACCCACTCCTTGCATGTGGAGTGGGTCCCCATGGCCTGGATTCGGCTCTGAGCACTGTTCTGGTTCTCGGGTTCTGTCAGGTTCACCACTGCCAGGGTTGTCGTATTTGGGCCTGTCCGCCTTTAATTTTTGTTTTGCTGGCTTCCTCTTTGGTGTTCATTTTACTTGAATTACCCGAGGACCACTAACACATTAGTGGCCTCAACAAGGACATGAAACCGAGGACTTGTCAAAGGTTTTCCTCTCCCCACTTGATTTTTTATTTTTTCCAGCAGGATTTTAAATTTTAAGTTTTAGCATTTATGACTGGCAGGTAGATGGTTCCAGGGGTTTATAACCCTGTGGGTGAAAAAAGCATCTCCTATTTTCAGTCCTGCACTGTGGTTTGCTGAGCATGAAGTCTTGTCTGAGAAGTCAAAGTCTTTGACTTACATCTCACCTTATGCAGAAATTAAGTCTGCATAAAGAAATTGACCAAAATTTGTCACGCCCTCCTCCCCCTTCCCTCAGGTTCTCAGATGCCTCCGTTTTGGATTGAGGTTTCCTGCCCTGTGCTCTCCTCACTTCCCAGGGTTGGTTGGATTCACATCTGGAATATGCCAGCAATATTGATTGCTTCTGTATGGTGGGGCCCCCTCCCCCCCCCCCTCCTTTTTTTTTTTTTTTTGAGGACTGGTTTTGGATACTTCGTGCAGTTTCCATGCAGGGCGAGTCCTATCTTCTCGGGGACAGTTCCTCTAGCTTTCCATCCCTTTCAGACTAAACCATCCGAGACATCTTTCCGTTTTATTTGCGAGGTGTTCAGTTTCACCAAGGATTCTTGGTGCAACTGGTGTAATTTTAGTTTGAAATTAACACTTCATGTGGGTGTAAAATCGATTCTACCTTTTTCACCAGTTCGGCCTCGTGACATCATGCTGGTTCGTCCTTCTCTACATAGCATTTCTGTGTTAGGGAGGATTCTGATCCCTCTTGCCACCTTTTCCTGCAAGGGTGGCTCTTTTGCATAATTCTCTCTGTTCATGTTTGTAACATCTTCCCTCATGAAGTTCCTGTCTTGCCCCCATTGACGATCCCCCCCATGTAAAATTTTTAAAGACCGACTCACATGGTGAAGGCTTGTACCCTTCCTACTATTTTTAAGTCTTTTCCTTGAACAGTTTTCCTCACACTCCATTGATCTGTTTACAGGTGGACCCAAGTCTGCCAACCATGTTGACTATTGTTGTTTTCCGATCAACGTTAAGTGTTACCTGCCCCTGGAGACTAGCATCTTCACAGCAGAATTTTATGCTATTCATCAACAGCTTTTTCAGTGTCAACATTCCTTTCTCATTGCGGTCAACTTGCCGTGCTCTCATGTCTCTGGAATTCTAACCCTTTTCATCCTGTAGTGGTTAAAATCCAATACTGGATGTTTATCACTAGCAGACAAGACAGTTGACTCCTTGCAGGATGTCCTGATTTTCAGGATGATTGTTATATTTATGTGCCTACAGGTCAGTTGTCCCTTAATAAATCCTTGGTGAATCCAATACTTTTGATGTTGCTCACTTTGTCCCTTTGTTCTCATATTGGCATCCCAAGTGATGTTTAGCGCATCACTTGGTGATGCGCTTGATGGTGATGTGCAGATGGTGCTACATAATATTCCTGGTATGGCACCTTCTTTCGACCATTATTTATCAAGATGCACAGAAATATATAAATCGATGCAAGTGCATCACATTCATATTTATCATTCATTACAATTCAATTTTTCAGTTAACTTATACAGAATCAAAATCACTTAATCATTCAGTCTTTGGCCCACTACCCCTTAACCTTACTGTATATTCCTATCCCTATTAAAAAAAAATATGCTTTAAAATCCCCTCATCCTACTTTTGATTTCCCTGATTATGAGTTTGTCATCAAAAATCAATCTCCCCGCCCGCCATGATAATAGCACAAGGTTATGATGGTGGGGAAACAAAATAAAGTATACAGTAATTGAAAAAAAAAGACTGACTTGCTTAAAAAAAATCACAAATGACTATAAAACTAAGTCACAAATTTACAGGACCAGTTGTTCATCTTGTTTATTTTCATTAATTTCCCAAAATTAGTCTATCATGATTTTGAGCTAATTTGGTGCACTTTATTGTAAAACCTTTACAACATTTTGTGACATTCACGTTAAGTGGGTTAAAATTTAGTAAACAATTTTAATTATGCAGTACAATAGTTCCCTTTGGTAAATTGCTATATAATAATAATATATATATATGAATGAGATGTCAGGCAATTTGATTTTGCAGAATCATGCATGTTTACACACATGCATACACGCACTTGGGTTTGTCTGACCGTGCAGTTCATGCACATTTCTAAATACACAGATGTACAGTATATACATTGCCCGTGTTTCATTAACATGAAACATGCACGTGTAGTTTATGCAATTGCATGAATATGTACATGCAATATGAATATGTTCTGTTCATATTAAGTGGAGATTAATTTCCCATTTTTGACAATTGCAACCTTGATCGGCTGAGCCCAAGGATGAATTTACATTTCATTATAGAGATCAATGTCTCAAACAATCTGAAAACATTTGGAAAAGAAATCAACATTACTAAAAATTACTATGCTAAAGCAATGTGTAACATAATATAGGTTCATTATAAAGATGAAAACTGTTTTAGATTTATTCATTCTGACACTTCACTGACCCATTATATAATTAAATATTCACTTTCATTAGGTTAATAAATGTTAACATTTTGGTATATAAAAGTTTAGACAAACATCAACAGCTGCCTAATTATATAAGTATGCATACAATGATGAACAAAGATATCTATGCATTAAACAATTGAATGTTTGTATGGGAAGCAAATACAAGGCACGTTTCTAATATTCATTCATTACAAAAACAATTCTTCCAGCCCAAAATAAATGGCGGCAACCAGTTTACAATATGACTCGATAAAACCCAACAAAACCTCTCCACAAAGTTAGGGTCAGTTTAATGCTATTATAAGTGTGAGGTACAAACTTTGTCATTTACTTGCACAAAAATGTCATTGAATTTATTAGCAGTTCCTGGAATATTTTGTCTATTTAGAACATGTTAACAATTCAAACTTGCCTCACTGACGGCAACGTCTAACAGTACTGTATAGATACTAGTGATGCTTCTCACTATACAATCTAAGGCCCCAAATAAATAGCAGATAAACATGGTACACAATATGAGCATGGTAAGGAAAATATTTGCTCTCAAATATTAGTACAAAAGTAAAAACTGGGTGTAGAGTGTAGTTGAACACTCCTTTTGAAGCTGGTCCCTAGAATGCTGTCCGAGTCACTGGGATTCACATAGGGTTCATATCTGTATGATAGGTTTTTGTGATTTTTTTTCTTTCCTCAAAAGTATCTTGGCAAATTGTCTTGTTAGGAAAGAGTAATAATGGCAAGTCTAATTTAAGCCACCACCGCCAACAATTTGGCTCACTACCAAACAAAGGAGGAGTCGTTACCACACCCCCACAAGTGCTAATTAGAACCTAAAGGCATAATAATTAATATGTACTAAATATGTATATATACATATTACATAACAGTATAATGTCTAAATACTGTTAGAAAATCAATCTTCCCCTGGTGGCAATCAGCATAAGAGTCTCGGAAGGGGATAGATAGGTGGACAAGACGGACGGGGATAGGTGGACAAGACGGAAGGGGATAGGTGGACGAGACGGAAGGGGATAGGTGGACGAGACGGAAGGGGATAGGTGGACGAGACGGAAGGGGATAGGTGGACGAGACGGAAGGGGATAGGTGGACGAGACGGAAGGGGATAGGTGGACAAGACGGAAGGGGATAGGTGGACAAGACGGAAGGGGATAGGTGGACAAGACGGAAGGGGATAGGTGGACAAGACGGAAGGGGATAGGTGGACAAGACGGAAGGCAAATGCCGGGTTTTTGAACCCAACCTAACTTGAGGGATTGGATTAGAAAGAAGTGGGTAACAACAAAATTTGAGCCCAAGCCAAACTGAAAGACATAAATGGAGCATACCTGTAAGATGCAGGTGAAAGAGTAAAAATGGAAAGAGCACCCACACAGTGAGTGATGACAGCAATGAAAGCGCTGAAGTACCAGCCAAGCGACCTAACACTAATGAAGGAAAAACATGAAATTGAAGTTCAGTCAGCTGCCTCAAATAAAATTGTATACAAGCCCCCAAAAAACTACATATGATGATTGGCAGAGTGCCTTGAAGCTGTAAAGCCCGAGTTGGGGCAACTTTTCAGCAAGGCCGAACAATCCACATGAGAACCAGAAGAATAACAGCATTCAAAGGTCCTTAACTTAGACCAGACAGGCAACATCATCTTGAGTGGAGAAAACTAAGAAAAACCCCTTTACTGACCACAGGTGAGACTAAATATATCCAATACAATAGAACTGTATTGGGAAATGAAGCTACATACCATACACAGAAAACCTTTTGTTCCACATTGGGGCAGAGATATCCACCTGGGGAAGACAAAATGTGCTGCATATGCAAAGAAAGGAGGGCTCATCTGAGCTCAACTGAACAAAATGAGACGTTGTCTACAAGCACACTGGAGTCCTGACAAATGTGACCACATAGACAGTTTGAACTTGGCAAGCCAGAAGCGAAGCTATGGCTCAAGATCACCACCACAATGGTGAACAGAATGAAACCAAAGGTGGATGTATTCAAGAGGCACCTAGATAAGTTCTTGCAACAAGTACCGAATCAACCAGGCTGTAGTGGACATGTGGGCCTGCGAGCCGCTCCAAGCCTGTTGGATCAAGTTATCACAAATCAGGGAGTATAAAAACTCCCGAAACCAGAAAATGCGCCACCAGAAAACTAACGGCATATTGAGAGACTAGCCTTGAAGAATTAAGATGCATCTATGTGCTTTCCAAACCACCGCTGTCTCCCATGCATGAACACTGACCAACATACCTTACCAACAAGGTAATGGGCTCTACGCACAAAGTAAGGTAGTCAGCTCCCCCCCCCCCCCCCCCCCCCGCCAACCCTGTTGTGTGGATGCTGCCACCTTGGTTGGCTTTAGTTTAATTTTGCATTCTTTTTGTTTCTAATCAGTACTTGTAGAGGGTGTTACTTATATTTCTGTACTACATTTGTACAATAGTGAGTTGGTGCCTTTGTGAAGGCTCGAGTTTGACTCGCCACTGTCAACCATTCCTTCATTTTACTGACAACTGTATGTAAAGATACTCAGTAATGAGAGTCCAAGTGGGACTAACAATTCTGGCCCAGTGAGCATCTGAGGGTCCTCGACTAAGAAAGCACAAATGAAGTTTAGTTTCCACAATGGTGATCTATTTTCAAAAACATTCAATACATAAAACTGGAAAATAGAAAACTGTATAAAACACAAAATGCCAAAAATCGGGAAATATATGTAGGACTGAAATGCACTTTTGGATAAGGTCTTTACACAATTGGAACTAGGCCTTAAATGCTTAGTATCATTATGCTGGTAATGTTCCTGACCTAGACCACACACTGTTGTTTCCTGAGACAATGTCCTGCTCTCATGCAAACATGAATGAACAACAGCTAAGCCAGGACACATTCCTCAGTGCAGTGGGAATCTTTGAAAACCACCATACCAGACTATAAGTCAGCCCAGCCCAGAATGACTTGCAGTAAGCTCTACTAATTGCTAAATGGCCACCCAGTTGCTACCCCAAACCACCACGAGGTATCAACACCCACAATTTCAGCATAATCAAAGGGGGCAACCCACCTTGCTTTTATTCAGGCTCCTGCAAGCCAAACAGCCTGGCTGGATGGGATTGCATTGTGCAGTTCAGCTGCGGTACAACAATTACCTCATTTTTGGATACTTAATATCATGACTTGATTAATTTTAAACTTGGCAGTGTCAATAGTGTCATTTTGAAATGATGCTCTTTTTTTGGGAGATTTTATTTTTTGTTTCCTTTTGGATTACAATACTGAAACTTTGGCTGGAGGTTCATCTTACAGGTTAAATTTTATCAATTTAATAAGAATTGGTTGGTTTTGAATGTTGGGGGGGGGGGGGGCAGAATCACATTCATTCTTAACATAGGCTAATTGGATACTACTGTAGATGTCCATTTCTACCAACTTTGTATTAATTGGGCTGTGAGTCAATAACTGTGAGGTGGACTGTTCCTTGCTATTCTGTTGAGCGTATAGGTATTAACATCTGGTGGTGGTGGTTAGGGGTTGTGGCCAGATGGCCAGCTTGCAAACAGTATAGCAATACATGGCAGTCTCTTTATGGTTGAGTACTACTTAGAGGGGTTTCTTGAGTGTAGATCAGCTTACTGGAGGCCATTCTGGAATGGCTCGAGAAATCTTCAGTGTCTTCCTCCACTTATGGTCTGGTACAGTCATTTGCACAGGGGAATGAACATGCCCTTGCTTGACTGCTGTTTGGTCATGACTGTGAGAGAGAACATTACCTCAGTGAGCAACTGAGGGACTTGAAACTATTCATCACCATTCAAAGCTTTATTTTTGTGGTTTGTGTGCACACCTTTTATGATATACTGTATATAGAGATGAGAGAGCATGGCTTCAACAAGAAATTATCTTGGTTACATGAACAAGAAAAGTGATAAGTAACTAGTAGGAGAACTTTCAGTAAATGTTTGTTGAAGAGTAGTTAATATAAGCACCGAGTGTGAATCTAGACATAGAAGCTGAGAAAATATAAAAGTATTAAAGTCGCTAAAGAATCTGAATACTGCGGGTAAAGACCATTAGACATATCTATTTAATGCGCTGCAATTTCAAAGATCTAGTTCTAAAATTTTAATTAAATGCTAAAACAATAAGAAATGTAAAATACAAATATGAAGCGAATATACAAAAAAATATTTGCACGTCACTGTCTGGACACAAGCTAATTAAAGTCATGTTTACAACTATACTTTGTGTTACCAGAGTTGCTGTACCCAAAATTAACAAGTTTGTAAAGTCATGCAACATTTTCTCTAGTTTCACTTAACTCGTAAGGACAATGGAAAATGGGATATTTTTTGAGCTTGAGTTCCAAGGAATACAACTGCCTGTAATGAATTTATATCACTGACACTGCAGATTATGTTCACAATACAGTATATTGCAGACAAAACCTGTAAACAGGATGCAGAGGCTCCAACACAGCATCACTGGGCAAATCTAGCACTGAAATCAGCAGTAACACAATAATGTCTGAACATGTTCAAAGATAAAATCTGGAGTTTTTTCATATGACAATAACACACTCCTATTGTGAACTGAACAGATATTAGTTCACTAGTGGATTTAAAGGTAGGTTTAAAGATCCTGACAATTTTTTGTAACCATCACCCACCTTAATATTAAACAAGTTCATAATGGTCTAAATCTGCTATTTTATTCTACCCGACTTATTCAGTTAGTGTAAAGCCATTAAAGCTGACACCTGTAGCACTTTAACATAATGACCAGGTTTAAAAGAATACTACCAACAATTTTCATCACAAAAATTCACTTGCATTCTTATCACAAATTAAACATTCAGGGATTTAAAAACCCTATTACAGCAACAATCTTCTACTTGCATTCTGGGATAAAAATTTCCACAGGAGCCTCACTATTTAGTCCTTCCCTTCTTGCTTCAGTTTCTGCTTTCTTGGCTCTCAGGGCTTCCTTCATGGCCTTCCGTCTCTCCTCCAGCATTTTTTTCCTGGCTTCGTCCCTCGTCTTCCCTTCCTCTGTTTTCTCAGCACTAGCTCTTGTAGACTTGGCCGGTCTGGATGGCCTTGGTGCAGGTTTCCGACGCGCATGACCAGTCGTCACATTTTTATCAACTCCATCGGTTATATCTTGAGTTATCTTCAGTAAAAAAAAATTAGACAAAAAGGTAAATTTTTATTAACAGGTCAGCATTACAGTACTTTTCATAACTCATTATTAAATATGTAAACATTTTCTTATATAATTACAAAAAAAGACATTTTACAAACATAAATGGATAAAATAAATTTGATTAATTGTACCTCTTTCCATCCATTAGCACGAAGCACCATGATTTCTTGTAAAGAATTTTTAATGTCTTCAACTTGGATGGACACCATATCCCAAAAGCCAGCAAGATCTTCGCAAGTTGTAGGAAATTCCTCGCCTATAGTTCCAGCCTGTAACAAAGAACCTATGTGAGACAAAGAAGAGAGTACAGGTGTATTACCTTACCCCTTTACCATGACACACTGTAAGTTATACAACCTGGGATTCCACTGAATCCACAGAAAGTCTGGAGGTTTCTACTGAAGCCAGTCCAAGTTTTACATATAACCCCCAAGTACTCTGGTGTAGGTAAAGGCAATTTTACACACCAGCTTCAGGTACACAAAGATGTCACATCAAAGTGATATATTTCCATGAGGAAATTTATTGGAACAATAAGGTGACTTAAACTACCAATCAGGGTACTTCCAGCTATGCATCTTTACCCCTGTATGAGTTTTAGTTTGTTTTGCTCATCCATTACCAAGTATCGTTTGTGCTGTTTTCCTCACCATTTCTCTTTCAAGCAGTGATTTGTTTCATTTGGCAAACCTTACCATTTCATAGGGCCTTACCTTGTTGATACTTTGTGCAAAGGGCTTAGCAGCACCAGTGCTTAAGATGCTGCTGATGCCTGCACAGAAATGCATTGAAACTTGTCATATTGCAATTTAAGTGTTGTAAATTTGACATACCTTTAATTATTTGGTAGAAAGACTAAGACCTGTTTAGAATTCTGTAGTGCAACATTTATTCAGTAATGAAGAAATTTAAAAGCTCAAAAACTTTTAATATTTTGGTGGCTATAGTCAAGACCTTACCTTGCAGTTGCCTTGCGATGATTTTGGGTCTCAACGTCCCTGCGGCCCAATCCCCGACCAGGTCTCCCACCACAACCTCAGTACAAGTAGTGTACAGTAATAACTTTCACCTCAACACACACTGATAGGAATTTAGCTACTCACAATGTTCTTATGACAGAGGCCTTGAAATTGCTGAATTTTCTGCGATACAAGAAGACGCGCCTTTCCTATAGCTGCAAACACCTTTCCACGCACCTCTTCGCTCATTTCTGGCTCTCGTAATTTAAGTTCAGATTCAATTTCAGCAACCGTTGCTTCAATATTATTTACTACTTTTTCTACCACCTGAAAAAATAATAAAATATCAACTACATTTAAATAACTAAATGTTTGGTTGAAAGATAAGCCACAAACATTTTAATTTACTTTAAAATGAGTTTTTGTACAATTAAAACAAATTTGTATTAAGTATTGTGACTGTCAGTACTGTAGGTTATTTTTTTTCTCATTTGTAATCAAATTATTTGTTCGGAAATGCATCTTATTTTTCTCAAAACCTTTTTGGCAGAAGCAATTCTGCTTTGGTCCCATGCATACTTTTCTTGGGCTTACATTGACCTAAACAACAAATTTATACTTTTGTTTACCTCTATAGTAAGAACATTACCTACTCTTTCCAGTTACACAATTAAAAGAATAGAGGAAACAATTCTTGGTGAACATTTTTGTATATAAAGTAGTTTTTGAGTATCCATTTTAAAATAGAAAATTTGGTTCAAGTTAATGTTCAATTGCAGAACATTAATGGTTAAGACATAATTTTATAAATCTTGTACATCTAAAAACAATAATCACAGTGTGTGTGTGTGTGTGTGTGTATTATATATATAATAAAGATCCACATAAAGATATATATATATATATATATATAATCTTTATGTGGATCTTTATTATATATATAATATACACACACACACACACACAAAAAAAAAAAGGAAGGGGGTGGTAGGAGAAAAGCACACAAACTGTATTGGAGGGGATCTAAACATTCCCTCTAATGCGTTATGTGTGGTTTCCTCCGAGGCTATGGGTCCCCCTTCTTCCAGCCAGAGGTGGTACTCCCTATATTTTATATTATATATATATATATATATATATATATATATATATATATATATATATATATATATATATATATATATATATATATATATATATATATATATTTTTTTTTTTTTTTTGAGGGGAGTGATATCTCCATTTGAATAACATTTCTAAGAAAAAACCAGCGTTGAATGTAATGAAACGCCATTTTCTGGGTGAGTCCCGGAGGCTCCCCGGAGCTATCCCAGGCTGATATGCTAATGTCAGACTTTGGCATCAGTCATGTGTATGGAGTTCTTAGGCCTACCGGGGACCACGGCCAGAACCGGGCCCCCTCAGAGAGGCAAGGGGAGCAATGGCCTATAGAAGCCCCCGTGTAGTTGGAAGCATTCTATGTCTGCCATCGACCGGAACAGGCACCCAGAAAGGTAAGCGCCCCAAAACAAACCCCTATTCTGGTTAAAATTGCTACCTAATACCGAACTAGTGGATAGAACTCCCCAACCGAAAACAAGCAAATTAGTGTGACGTCACACACTGCCGCGCCGCTGTCTGCGCAGCTCCCCCCTCCCCGGGAGGGGGAAGGGGGAGCCCCAGACCCCCCGCGCCGGCTACCCACACCTCAGTTCTTGAGGCTGGATGTCAAAAACGCGAAAAACCGCCGACCGGAGGGAGGGAGGGATGCCGGGGAGCCTCCGGGACTCACCCAGAAAATGGCGTTTCATTACATTCAACGCTGGTTTTCTGGGGGGAGCCCCGTCGGCTCCCCGGAGCTAACTACCCACAGACAGAAAAAGAGGGACGTACCCGGGAGGCGGTCGTCGCTCACCCCTCAACTCGAAGCCGAGACAACTGGCTGCAACCGCCGACCCAAAGCAACACAGGCCCGACGAGGGCCAGGGACATTCACAAGGTAACGAGCAGCCAGGACCCTGTTCGACCGCCAAAATCCCCGCGCCCGAATATCAGACCAAGACATATTCCCAAAGACGGCAGCAAGAGCCGCGAACTTACGAACGTCATGGGCACGGGGATAGACCGCAGGCTGGCTAGACCTAATAACCCTGCGGACGACCTGAGAGACCCGAACCCGCGAACAGGGAAGAAGGGAAACCGGATCAACCCACAGCGCGTCCCCGGACACAGAAGCTGTGGCGCGCAAATAACGGCGAAGCGCCGCAACCGGACACAAAACATGATGCACCCCCGGCCTGACCAACCAAGCATCAACCACCCAGGGACCCCTCCGGAACGCAGCAGTCTCATTCTTCGCCAGAAAAGAAGGAGACGGCTGCAAACGAACAAAACTATCACCACGACCAAAAGAGCAGAAACCCCTGCGCCGGAGGAGAGCATGAAGCTCCCCTACCCGACCCCCAGAGGCCAAAGCCAACAAGAAAAGTGCCTTGGAAAAACAATCCTGGACCGAAGGGGCCACAACGAAACGAGGAGATGAAAGGAAAGCGAGCACTCTGTCCAAAGACCAGGACGGCTCAGGCGACGCATGAGCAGGCCGGAGGTGAAACAATGCACGAGACAGCTTGCGAAACGGCGCAGACGTAACATCGATACCGAAAGCAAGCTGAAGCGGCTCCGCCAGCGCCGCACGATACGAAGCGACAGTGTTAGGCATAAGATGACGGTCCTGAAACAACCACGAGAGGAAGGACAAGACCACCCGAACAGACAAGGAGCTAACACGACGAAGACGCAAAAAGAAACGGAAGGACCGCCAGGAAACTTCATACTGCCGCCGAGAAGAAGCCCTCAGGTGGGACACCAACAAGGAGGCCACCTGATCACCATAGAGATGATGATAGACTCGAGTCAAAAAACCCATACGCGAAGACTCGAGGAGAAGATCGAACCAGCTACGTGACGTACCGGCCCGATCTGCTGAAAGAGGCGGAGCCGCGGGAAAACCCTCGGGTTCGGACACCGAGCAACCAGCGCCTGAAACCAAGGCTGGGCCGGCCACCAAGGGGCCAGAAGGACAACTCTCCCCTGGTAAGTCTCTAAGCGAGTCAGGACCTGGAGCAACAGCCGAACTGGGGGAAAGAGGTACAGGAACCCCCACCTCGACCAGTCGAGCCGAAAGGCATCGACCCCGACGGCCTCGCAATCGGGGAAGGGCGCCGCATAAACGGGAAGACGCCGCGACCACGCCGACGCGAAGAGGTCCACCTCGGGGCGCCCGAACGTCTGGCAAAGCCAACGGAAGGACTCGTTGTCGACCGTCCACTCCGTGGAGAGGGGAACGAAGCGAGACAGGGCGTCGGCCAAGACGTTGGACACGCCCCGTACGTGAACCGCCAGGAGAGCCAAACCCCGAGAACTCAGCAGACGAGTCACCCGAAGCGACCAACCCCAAAGAGACAAGGACCGCATCGAACCCCCGCGGTTCAGGCAATGAACCACCGGAGAGCAGTCCGAATGGAGCCGAATCGTCGATCCGCGGGCCACCCGAATCCTCCCCAGAGCAAACCACACCGCCGCGAACTCCCGCACCGTACTGTGAGCTCGACGGAAGGACGGATCCCAACGCCCCTGGCCGGCCTGGTGAGCACTGGTCACAAAACCCCAGCCGAGAGACGACGCATCCGTGTACACATCGAGCGAGGGCTCGGGTAGGCGCCAAGGCACTGAACCCCGAAAAACCCGAAGAGGAAGCCGGTGACGCAGCAACCGACGCAAGTCCCCCGGGGGTCGAACTCTGCGATCGCGAGAGAGGCGGAAGGGGGAACCCCGAAGGAACCAGAACAGCCGTCGAAGCCAAACCCGACCCGGCGGGTAGACCACCATCGCGAAGTTCAGGCTCCCGCACAGCCCCTCGAGCAACCGCCGGGTGACCCGAGGGCCCTCCAGAAACAGACGAAGGCGGGACCGCAGCCGCAGGAGAGACTCCGGAGGGAGAGACAAGGAGGCGGTCCGAGAGTCCCACACGAGACCCAGCCAAGTCCGAACCTGAGAGGGAACCAGATGGGACTTCCTCCAGTTCACCAAGAACCCGAACCCGGCGAGCTGGGAAAGAACCAAATCCCTGGCTAGCAAGCAAGCGGACTGGCTGGGAGCCCAAACCAGCCAGTCGTCGAGGTAGGCCAACACCCGAACACCTAGGAGACGCAAACGAGCCACCACAACCCGTGTAAGGCGTGTGAACACGCGAGGTGCCAGGTTCAACCCGAACGGGAGACAACGAAAGCGGTAACTCAGACGCCCCACTACAAAACCGAGCCAGTCCCTGAACCGCGGATGAATCGGGACATGCCAATAAGCGTCCCGGAGGTCCAGGGACACCATCCAAGCACCCGGCTCCAAGAGGAGCCGAACCTGAGACAGCGTAGTCATCCGAAAGGAGGGGCAATGAACCCAGGGGTTCAGACGGGACAAGTCCAGAATGAACCGCAGGACCGCGCAGTCCCGTTTCGGAACCGGAAACAGACGGGAAACCCATCTGAGGGACGACGTCGTTTCGACGACGCCCAAGCGTACCCACTCCAAGACGACTCGACAGAGCGCAGGGGAAGAAGCCTGCCCCGCCAGCCCCGACCCCCCAAAGGGGGGAGGGGCCACCCAACGCCACCGCAGGCCGCGAGACACGACCCGAAAGGCCCACGAATCGTGGGACCAGGCGCGGGCGAACAGCGCAAGCCGCCCCCCCAACGCCCCGTCAAAGGGGCAAACCGCGAAAAGGCCGGCGACCCTTACGAGACCCAGAACCCCGCACAGCGCGAACACCGCGCCGACCAGACGAGGGAGGGTCCGCAGGAGGAGCCAACCCCAAACCTGACACCAGAGGCCTACCACGACGAGAGGAACCCCGAGCCCTGGCACGACCTTTCCGGGAAGACCCACCCCGGGACCCCCGGAAAACCAACAAGTCCGACATCGGACGACAAGCCGCCGACGCAGCCTGAATAAACTGCGCCACGGCCGACTCCCCAAACAGGAGAGGACAAAAAGGTGAAGAACGCCTAAGAGCCAGAGCCCAAGCAGATTCCACGGAGGAACCCAGCACCGCCTGCCGACACGCGAGACGGGAAGCATAGAACAGGGAAACCGCATCCCGCAAAATCGGCGTGAACAGCTTCAACAAGGCAGCCGACGAACGCGCAGCCGAGGACAAGGTGCCGGACCCCGGGACGGACCCAAGCGTCCCCACATCCTCCACGAGCCAATCCGAAGACAGCTCCAGGAGGGAAAAGAACCGCAAGGCCGAACACAAAAGGCCCCGAGCGCGCAAGTCCTCCGCCACGAGCGCCGCCGAAAGGGAGGGAACCTGCACATGGAGCTGAATAACGCCCACATCGCGGGGAAGGGCAGGGGCAAACAAGCACTCATTCAGGTACTCAAGTTCACCCCCCAGGAAAACCTGAAGCACCGTGGAAGCTTCCCGCCACTCCAGCGTGCGGGAACGACAGAAGGAATGCCAGGAATCCAGACCAAACAAGGGGCAGTCTGCTAGCCAGGATGACTCCGGAACCTCGTAACGGAGCCAGAAAGGGAACGAAGTCCCAAACCTGAACGTGGACGGATCCATTTCCGAGGCATAATCCGGGTCACGCAGGAGGTAAGCTGCAAAGGCCGCTCGCACCACACCAGGTTGGATGCGATAAGCCGAAAACCTCCGGAAGGACGGAACCGACGTACCCGGGGGAACACGGAACCGTACCCGGGGAGGGGCCGACACCAAATCCAACTCGTACGCAGAGGGGGGGAAAGAAAACCCCACTCCTTGTAACAATAAGCCCCGCTCAGTGGGAAGAAAAACCCCGGCGGGGTCCAGCGGGGCCCAAGGCCCCCAAGTCAGCCCCTCCCCAGCCTCGAGGTCCGTCACCACAGGACCCGAGGCCGAGTCCTCTCCCCAAGCCCCGACCCCACAAGACAAGGACGGAGCAGCCGGAAAAGCTGGAGGAAGGGGGGCCCACTGGTCAGACCCTGAAGCTTCGGCCGGGAGACAAGACTCGAAAGCCTCTGCCGCCCCCCCGGAAGGGGCAACCCCCGAAGCTGCCCGAGTCTCGAGATCAAGTAACCCCTGCTCCGACCCCGAAACCCTCAGACGCTTCGGGGCCGGAAGCAGGGGCGGGGGACCAGAACGAACAGAAGGGGAAGGACGAGGAGGTGCGGACTGAACCAGGATCGAAGCGACCCCCACCCCCAAGTCCGGGTCTCGAAAAGCAAAGCGGGGCAGCCCCGGGGCATCCGGGGAAGCAACCAACCGAGCGCGTTGCAACAGACGAAATCTAGACTGCAACGCACGTGCCGCCTGTACCCGAATAGAATCATCAGAGGATTGGGTAAATTGAGTCACAAGCAAGCAGCAACACTCACAGGACTCAGGGTCGAAAGTATCACCGACCCAACAGGCAGCATGGCAGAGGCAAAAACAATGAGGGTCACCCTGAGACAAGGGGACCGAGCAACCCTCAAACTCGCACACAGCGAGTGGGGACCCCGGGGTCACATCCATCGGACCCACGCGCCCCCTAGGGGATTCCCAGGGTCCTGAGCGTTTACTTTAAGAGGACTCGCGCTCAGGTAGTCCCAGGCAGGGTGCTGCAAACCGGCGCCCAAAACTACCAAGCAAACTTCTAAAGCTGAACCCCAGGGACGTGTACACTCACGGGGACCTAGCAGGGGGCGCCACCGAGGAGAACAGTGGAAGGGCAAAACAAACTGAATAAAATGACAGAACCCCCCACCAGGCAAAAACAAAAAGAAAAACAAAACCCCGCAAGAGGACAGCGAACCCCAAGGAACAGAGCCGGCCGCGATGTCGGGAATTACAAGCTGAGCAGCACCCTGCGCCCCTACCAGTGCAAACTGCCTCTTACCTGCCGGTAACAAGGGAGAACAGAACACCCAAGAGCCCAACAGGCGGCCGAAAAACCGAAAGGTAAAACGGACCAGCAGAGGCAGACCCCGAGGAGCCTGTGGAAGGTGGCCCCAAGCCCCAAGGGCAGTACTTACAGGGCACCTAGGGAAGGCAGCCCTAGGCGCATGCAGCCCGAGTACTGAAGATAACTCCTGGCTCTCGCACCCACAAAACTAACACCACACTCAAAGCACAGTGCAGTAGCGACACCGGAGCCAGAGCACACGACCATCGCCTATAGCATCAGCCTCAAGAACTGAGGTGTGGGTAGCCGGCGCGGGGGGTCTGGGGCTCCCCCTTCCCCCTCCCGGGGAGGGGGGAGCTGCGCAGACAGCGGCGCGGCAGTGTGTGACGTCACACTAATTTGCTTGTTTTCGGTTGGGGAGTTCTATCCACTAGTTCGGTATTAGGTAGCAATTTTAACCAGAATAGGGGTTTGTTTTGGGGCGCTTACCTTTCTGGGTGCCTGTTCCGGTCGATGGCAGACATAGAATGCTTCCAACTACACGGGGGCTTCTATAGGCCATTGCTCCCCTTGCCTCTCTGAGGGGGCCCGGTTCTGGCCGTGGTCCCCGGTAGGCCTAAGAACTCCATACACATGACTGATGCCAAAGTCTGACATTAGCATATCAGCCTGGGATAGCTCCGGGGAGCCGACGGGGCTCCCCCCAGAAAAGGGTGTGTTCTTTCCATACATATTATGAACAATTATTGAAAGTCCTTTAACAGACAGCATCAATAGCAATAAAATATAAAAAAATGAACACAGTATTACCAAACCTTTACGTTCTAATAAAAAATATGGGCCCAGTAACTAAAGCTATAATGATCACAATGCACTCAATATCATAAATACTGTACAAGAAATATTCTATGTATTTTAGTAGCATAATTACAAAATAAAAGCTAATTCTGCCCTATTAAGAATCTTTGGAATTTGTGGCAAAAGTTTTGTAACCACTAAAATGATTTTCAATTATTCAAGGTCAATTCATTAGGGTAGAATACTAATGGCTTTGTACCATCAATTTTAAGGAAAGAAAATTGCATAATATAAGTACAATCCTTTGTGAAAATATTTCACCTTAATACTCACCTTCAAGTAATAATGACCATCTTTTCCTTCCAAAGTGTCATTGAAAATTCCATTTACTTGTATAGAGTCTGAAACACCATTAACAATATTTGTTCTCTTAGCCAATTCTTGTTCTTCAGTAACACTATTTGTGTTCTCTATTGTACTTCCATTAACATATGATTCTGTGTCCAATGCCACTTTACTTTCTTTTATATTTCCATTAACAATCTTCTGAACTACAACTGGTTTGTTGTCCCTATTAACAACTTTGTTTCCTCTATTTGTTTCACTGGTAATGATTATCTCGGGTTTTGGTTGAGGAACTGGGGGTTTTTGAATAGTTTTATCTAATGCATCTGTTAATATGATTGGTATAACTCTTCCAGGTCTCTTAGGTGAATCTACATTATTAGCAGCACTCAAAGATGGTAATTCCAAGGGAATAACCGTTTTCAACCTACCGCTACGCTTCACTTGCAGCTGTGTTCTAAATTCGGGCCGTAAGTGTCTAAATACACTTGGAAACCCTTCTGGGGCTTTTTGATCTGGTTCAAAATGATTGTCTATGTGAGAAGCTAATAAAGGACTCCTATACCCTCCTGATTCTCTGTCTTTCTGTTCTTTTTCTAGCTCCAACAGAGATCGGCGACTTCGAAATCCTGCCCCAAGTGCACTAGGTCCATACAGCCGCTCAATCCTAGATTGAATAAATGACTTAGATTCTGGAATGTCACCATTTGTGTGAGCAGTGTAGTGTATACTATCACTTGTTTCACTAATGCCGCCTCTAACAACACTTTGTTCAAATGAATATTGATAGCTAGAAGACTTCAATGTACTTGAATCAGTCATGCTAATTTCAACTAGGTGGACATGTTTGCCACCATTTGTGGCCTTGTCATTTTCATGGCCATTCATTTTCTCCCGAGGTCCCGATTTCACTAGATATCCTCTGTCTACACTGATACTGCGACCCTGTGAAGGTCTTCTTCCGAGTTTTCTTAACGAGTTTTGACGGCCACGTTCTCCCGGGGGTTGAGGAAACTCTGCCTTAAAACGTGCTAATTCTTCCTTCAGCTCCTTGATCTTGGCAGCAGTTGCTTGTGGTGAAGCCTAGAGAGAGAGAGAGAGAGATTTTTAGTTTTATTTGCTTATATAACTGCTTACAATGTCAAAGATCTAAAATATTAATGAATATTATATTAAGAGGTAGTGCAGCTTGTTACCAACATGTGTAGAATTAATTCGCCATTCTCCCCAGTTATGAAGTTATTCTCCCCTTGTCTTGTTGTCTATTACTTCCTTCAACCTCGATACTGCTCACGATTGCTGCACTTGTTTTTTTCTTATCTATCATGTATTGTCTAAATTCATTTGTATTTACCTGTCCATACATTCAAATGCATAATTTTCTCCCTGATTCACTATTTAGCATGCATCACCACTTTTTTATGCTGCATTATATCTGTACCTGTACTGCATCATATAACATTTTGGTAGATTTCTCCAGACACCCCTTTCATACATGTTCTACATTCCCTCTCTACTGGAAACAATTAACATTTAGCATACATATTAACATGCATGACTGATGCTGAATGTTCTGTGCTGCCCCTATGGATTTGACAGATGAGGAAACTATGGAACTGAAAGACATTTTATGATGTTCATTGCATACCTAACTCTGAAAATTAAGAAAATAAACACATGAAAAATGCTGACATCTAAGATCTTTACCTTAAACACCAACCAACAATACCAACAAACTGGTCTTTACTAATTTTTACCTATCATTAAAAAACAATAATTTTAAGTGGTATGTTATGGACTAACAAATAGGAAGAGAGTTCACGAATAATATTCACGAATTCACTAACCCTTGTGGGTAAAACTCGGCAAGTAAAACTATGGGTAACACTAAACAAAACCCTATTATATATAGTCCTGCGTTGATAGCTGTTCTCAGTATCGGCTCAGTTGCGATGTTGAATAGCAGACCACTGATTGGGCATCCCTGCCTGACCCCACAGTCTGCCGGGGCCCATACGAGGCAGCTTCTATTTATATCCACCCAATCTCATTCATATATATGTTCAACCTACACTTGAAACAATCAAGGGATCCTACTTCTATTATGTTACAAGGTAATGGGTATACAAATCAACAACCCTGTTACCAAACCAGCATTTACCCAGGTCTTTTCTAAATTTAAACTTATCCAATTTATACCCATTGTTTTGTGTTCTATTTTATGTAGATACTTTTAATACTCTATTAATATCTATCTCCTCTGTTATGCCCATTCATCCACTTGTACACCGCTATCATGTCAGCCCTAATTCTTTGCCTTTCTAGAGAATGTAATTTAAGCTTTATCAATCTTTCTTCACATGACAGGTTTCTAATTTGTGGGATTAACTTTATCCTCCTATGCTGGATGCGTTCAAGTGAATTTATATCCATTCTATAGTATGGTGACCAAAACTGAACTGCATAATCTAAATAGTGCCTAACAAGAGCAAGATATAGTTGAAGAATAACATCAGGCGTTTTATTACTAACGTTTCGAGAAATAAATCCCAGTGACTTATTTGCTTTATTACGAACATTTATGCATTGACTTTTTGGTTTTAAAGTCTTACTAATTATAACTCCTAGATCCCTTTCACAATCTCAACACCATCTGGCTCGTACTGTATTTTGTAACTATAATTATCTAGCCTCAAAACCTTACATTTGTCAGCATTAAACTGCATCTGCCAATGCTGACCATTTCAAAACCCTATTTAGATTGTCCTGAAGTGATAGTCTTTTTATGTGTGTCTTTCTCTCCCGATTTTTGTATTGTTGGCAAATTTGCAAATATTGCTGCTCAAACCTGAATCTAAATCATTTACATATACTGTATTATGAATAACAGAGGTCCCAGAACAGAGCCCTGAGGCACTCCATTAACAGAAACATCTCGAACAAAACAAGGTTACATCTTGAGCCTTGAATTTATTACCTTTGTATGAAGATCAAATACTTTCCACTCTGGCCGCATAGGACTAGAATCTCTACTTCTGCTAAATGCTAAACGTGCTGGGCTAGCATCTCTTGAGCGAAAACCATCACGGAGAGAGGAATCATACCTTAAAATTAAAAACAAGCCATTTGTAAATTATTTTTAACTAATAACTGATTTGTCACATTGCAAAACCCTATTTACTACATATAAATTACAGTATTGCCATTCTGGGACACACATCATGATATATACTGCACTTGCAATTCTCTTTCTAAAGAGAACACTAAAGAATCTAAAGACACTACTAAAAACAGGAAACTTTTCATAAGATTACTTGCATATAAAAATACAAACAGTTAACCATTTTATGTAATTAACCTACTTAGAGCCTCACCTGTTAAGTCGACTGTAACCATTAACTGCACAAGATATACCTAAGTAAGAGGGGGTCTTGTATGTAACATCGGCTGTTCCACCACTATCCCTTAAGGAGCCCGGGTCAGTGAAGGGCTGAGGTTTGAGAATAGGTCTTAGTGGAGTGGTTACTATGGTTCCTCCTGTCTGTAATGACAATACCGTCAATCTCATTAAATGGTTGCCTGCACGACTCTTTAATTTCCCTTTAATAAACAACAACAACTAATACATTCTTATGACAATATATAAAAGAATTGGATTAAATGTTTAAAAAAAAAATGAGAGAGAATGTGAGGGAAAGGAGGAGGGAGAGTCAAGGAAGAGCGAGACAAAAGAGAAGTGGAGAATGATAGAGAAAATAATGTAAGAAAAAACAGGTGTTGAATGTAATGAAACGCCAGTTTTTGGGTGAGCCCCTGAAGCTTACCTCCTGCGGGAGGTAAGCTTCAGGGGGAGTCCCCACATAAACAATGTGGGGACCTCCCCACATAAGCTGACGGAACTCCTCACATAAACAATGTTGATACAGTAATTCCATACTGCTGATAATTGAAAAGAAACGCCTTTCATTAATAATGAAAATGTAATCACGTACTAGCCATGTACAGTATAGTATTTACCAAATCTTCCACAAAGTAAATGGTTTTAAATATTTAAAGTATATTTAAGTACTGTATAGAGGAATTTAAAATACAATGTACCCTGAATTGTACCCTAGTGTGTAGGGTACCCTGTACCCTACACACTAGGCCTATGAGATTTTTGGTTTCAATTAACATCATTTCAGTTAAATTCATGGTTTTCAGGAACATAACCCATAATGTTAAATGGAGTTCACCTGTACTGCAGTGTAAATAAACAAGGCAAATTTAGTTTATCCTGCTGATAGGGATATCTTCTAAAAATATGTACCATACGAAATAGATGAAGAAAATGGTGAGAGATGAGGATAATCTTCTGTACAAGGAAAGGTTTATGTTCATCTCTCAGAATGTTTGGTAATATGTTGATTGTTTGTGATGTGTGTATGTATGTATTAACACGATGTACTGAACGGGGTGAGAATAGCTTGAGCTACCTCATCCCTTTGTGTGTATTTTACCTCAATAAACTTATTTCAATTTCAATTCAATTTCAATCTTCTGTACTTACACTGGTTATCTCAGAAAAGTTGTTTTCTAAACTGACACTACGTAGGCTTCTCCGAGAACCATCTACAGCTTCTGTGGAGCAAATGGTTATCAGTATTAATATTGGAATTTCAGAATCAACGGGAACATTTGCTTTATCAAGCAATACATAAAATTATATGAATTATGAACAAAGTCAATACCCACCAGCAAAACTATGGTGCTTGTTTTCTGTATTTCAGATTAATTACTGTACTTGTAACTATCTAATACACTCCAGAAGCTGGAGACTGTATTTTAGAATGTGTGTTCTTGCAAATGAAGAAAACCCAAAATAAATCATTATTTGCCAAGTACAGTATTTACTGTTTTTCTCAAGTTATAAATAATTTTCAGTCAAAATTTATCAGTTAAAAAGTAAATTATGATGAGTGGTTTTCAAATAAAATAAAACTACCTGTATACCATTATGAAAATAATAACATTTTTAGTATACAGTAAAACCTAGGGTTTCTGGACCCAGGGAGATCTTCACTCCCATGGTCTCCTCGAAGCATGCTTAGGCTCTATGTATTATGCTTATACATTCAATACTGTATTTCAAAAATATATCAATAAATTAGAAAATAGTGCAGATATGTTATTAAACTGCTCCTGGAGCTATAAGGGCATCCTGGAGGTATTAAACATGACAATTTGCAGACAGGAGAAAAGAGAAATATAATCATGTACAAAATTTGTCTCAGTAATCCACAAAATTAATAAGGAGTAATTCTTGAAATCAGCAACATCCAAAACAATAAGCCATAGATTCAAGCAAAGAAAACAAAGTAATGAAAAGAAATTGTAGTGTGTAAATTCTTTGTAAACAGAACCATAGATGTGTGAAATCAGTTACATAAGATGGTAGTACTGTATACAGTATATCAAAATCATCAGAAGCTTCAAAACAACATACTGTATTATGAAGGTTATAGAGTGGTCAAGACACCACAAGCATAGGTATCATCCTGTAACTAAACAACTACACAATAGTTTGACCAACTGATGGAAATGAAAGTGTTAGGGATTACCATTATTATACAGTCCACAATGAAGTACAGTAATTTATGATATGATCCAACACTGAACCCTAATGTCATTCACCAAGGGATAAAACATGAATTGAATGCCTTCAAGAATTATGACACCAAATTTTGGTGCCGATACATATCAGAAGTAGTTTAACATTACACTGTATTTTACTAAACTCCTGTTGATGCCCATGATCTTCATTATATTAACACACTACACATGTTTATACTAGCAATTCTCTGTCTCAAGGAAGGATAATATAACTACAGTATACAGTAGTACATGACTGGATATTAGCACAGTTATGGGTGGATACATAGTACAGTACGAGACAATTTCCACCACCAAATATTGGTAATATTGGTAATTTACCAAAAATTTGGTAATATTGTCATAATTGGTAATATTGTTATAATTGCATCCATGGAATAGATTCTAGTGGCATTGTATAGTTCAATGTCTTTTTCTTTCAATTTATATTAAAGATTTAAAAAAAATGCAATATATTGTTTCATTCCTCTTGGAACAACAATAACTTCCTTAAATGACCAGATAGACCTAGACAATTTTACTTTACACACACCCCACCAACCTGCCCACCCACCCAATACTCGTTCATTCTCCCTCTATCTTCATAGCAAAACATGTGGAGAAGAGAAGTGGATGGGGTGGCATTATTGTTTTAAGGTGCATTTATAATATTCTTTGTATTGCGAGATGTGACTTGCATGGGATTGAGAATTCCTCCCTCGATCTAATTATGCTCTGTTTCTCCCTTTTGTGCATGAAGAGTTGAATTCTCATACAGTTAAGATGAGAAAGTGATTTCCATTTAAATAAGCAATTAATACACTATATAAATAAACAGTAGCTCTCTTTTGACAAAAATTAGCCTATCTTATAATGATATAATAGAAGGGTTTCATACCAAAGGGTAGAGCTGATAAGTGATAGTCTATCAAAGGATGAATAACAATCAGAGCCGCCCCCATCAATAACAACAAATGCTACTTACTAATACCTACAATGTCCTGCCTCATTACCAGATATGACACTCATTCAAGGAAAACAAACTTTGAATCTTAAGAGAATGAGTTGAGCTTAAGTTTTTTCTGACATCTCTTGGACTCATTTTTGCCTTACATTTCCATGTGTTCTACATTTCAACCATTTCTCAATAGAACGTTGCTTTTTCAAAGTTATAAACAACCTTATTAACAATCCACCCATCCACCTAGACAATTCCCTTTCATATCACATCTCCCCTGATTCTATTTTTATTTAATGGTGTGATAAAGTTACTCAGCCTTTCCTTGTGGGTCAAGTCCCATCAACTCTGGGACAAATCTTGTTCCCTACATATTTCAATATATTTTTTCAGTATATTGTGTGTTTTTTAGGCCAGGACTTTATACCACAGCTGCCGACTCATGGGTCTCGATTTTTAAAGGCGACGGGGGTGCCCTTTGAATCATAGTAGTACAGTAATTGCCATGTTGTTTCTGTCATACACTTGCCTGGGTCCTCTGTTATTTAGTGGAATATATCACTACTAGTCTTGGTCCTCCCATCATCATGGTGCCTGTTATGTATTCTCTCAACCCCTTATGGCCCAGAATAATCATCTCCTCAAACCTCCAGTCCGGAAGTAGGGTCATTCCTCCTTCCCTTTCCTTCCCTCTATTTCCTTATTACAGTGTAGTCCCGGGGGAACACTGCATTTGTTATGGCATCTGACAATTTTGTTTCAGTGAGTGCTATTTCTTCTTGTGTTCTTTCCCCAAGTTTGCTTGCTTGGTTTGCAATACCATCTATGTTTGAGTACAATACTTTTGAAACTGACTCTTCTGGCCAGTCTGCCCAGGGAAGGAGGGAAGGTCTGGGATGGATGGATGGATGTGTATTCACCTAATTGTGCTTGCGGGGGTTGAGCTCTGCTCTTTCAGCCCGTCTCTCAACTGTCAATCAACTTTTTTTTTCACACACACACAGAAGCCTACATTAAAAGAATAACATCTGCGGCGTACGCGAGGCTGGCTAACATCAGAACTGATTTCAGGATCAGTGTTAGGAATCATTCAGAACCTTGTATACCACATATGTATGACCAATCCTGGAGTATGCAGCCCCAGCATGGAGCCTGTACCTTGTCAAACACAAGGCAAAGCTTGAAAAAGTTCAGAGAGATGCCACTAGGCTAATCCCAGAACTAAGAGGCACGAGTTACGAAAAAAGGCCGCGAGAAATGCACCTCATGACACTAGAAGACAGAAGAGTAAGTAAGGGGAGACATGATCACTACTACAAAATTCTCAGAGGAATTGACAGGGTAGATAAACTGTTTAACACTGGTGGCAAGCGAACAAGGGGACACAGGTGGAAACTGAGTACAGTACTCACATGACCCACAGGGACGTTAGAAAGAACTTTTTCAGTCTCAGTAGTTAACAGATGGAATGCATTAGGCAGTGATGTGGTGGAGACTGACTCCATACACAGTTTTAAATGTAGATATGATAAGAGCCCAATAGGCTCAGGAATCTGTACATAAGTTGATCTTATGTACAGATTATGTACTTATATATATATATATATATATATATATATATATATATATATATATATATATATATATATATATATATATATATATATATATATATATATATGTCGTACCTAGTAGCCAGAACGCACTTCTCAGCCTACTATGCAAATCAGCCCGATTTGCCTAATAAGCCAAGTTTTCCTGAATTAATATATTTTCTCAAATTTTTGTCTTATGAAATGGTAAAGCTACCCATTTCATTATGTATGAGGTCAATTTATTTTTTTGGAGTTAAAATTAACGTAGATATATGACCGAACCTAACCAACCCTACCTAACCTAGCCTAACCTATCTTTATAGGTTAGGTTAGGTAGCCGAAAAAGTTAGGTTAGGTTAGGTAGGTTAGGTAGTCGAAAAAACATTAATTCATGAAAACTTGGCTTATTAGGCAAATCGGGCCTTGCATAGTAGGCTGAGAAGTGCATTCTGGCTACTAGGTACGACATATATATATATATATATATATATATATATATATATATATATATATATATATATATATATATATATATATATATATATATATATATATATATATATATATATATATATATATATATATATATATATATATATATGTCGTACCTAGTAGCCAGAACGCACTTCTCAGCCTACTATGCAAGGCCCGATTTGCCTAATAAGCCAAGTTTTCCTGAATTAATATATTTTCTCTAATTTTTTTCTTATGAAATGGTAAAGCTACCCATTTCATTATGTATGAGGTCAATTTATTTTTTTGGAGTTAAAATTAACGTAGATATATGACCGAACCTAACCAACCCTACCTAACCTAGCCTAACCTATCTTTATAGGTTAGGTTAGGTTAGGTAGCCGAAAAAGTTAGGTTAGGTTAGGTTAGGTAGGTTAGGTAGTCGAAAAAACATTAATTCATGAAAACTTGGCTTATTAGGCAAATCGGGCCTTGCATAGTAGGCTGAGAAGTGCATTCTGGCTACTAGGTACGACATATATATATATATATATATATATATATATATATATATATATATATATATATATATATATATATATATATATATATATATATATATATATATATATATATATATATATATATATATATATATATATATATAATATATATATATATGTCGTACCTAGTAGCCAGAACTCACTTCTCAGCCTACTATTCAAGGCCCGATTTGCCTAATAAGCCAAGTTTTCCTGAATTAATATATTTACTATAATTTTTTTCTTTTGAAATGATAAAGGTTCCCTTTTCACTATGTATGAGGTCTATTTTTTTTACTGTAGTTAAAATTAACGTAGATATATGACCGAACCTAACCAACCCTACCTAACCTAACCTAACCTATATATATAGGTAAGGTTAGGTTAGGTAGCCAAAAAAAGCTAGGTTAGGTTAGGTAGGTTAGGTAGACGAAAAAACAT